ATAAAAAAAGTGGGGGGAGAGCCGTGGTACAAGTGCCATCTTTCAGTCTACTCTGCTCAGAGCCAACATCCTTGTCCTTCCACAGCCCAGGGACATGGAAGGGACATTCCAGGCTCAGGGGAGGGGAGGGAAGAGTGGTGAGCTGACCCCGCACGTACCCTGCAGCCGCCGGCTCAGCTCCTTGGTGAACAGGACGACAGCCAGCTTGCTCTGACAGTAGGCAGCCTTGGTGTCGTACTTCCTCTTCTGCCAGTTCAAGTCATCGAAGTCGATGTGCCCAGCCACGTGGGCCAGGGACGAGAGGCTGATGACCCGCGACGGGGCGGAGGCCTTCAGCTTGTCCAGCAGCAAGTTTGTCAACAGAAAATGCCCTGGATGGAGAAGAGCAAGAGCCGCTCCGTCCGCTGATCTCCCAAGCAGCTGCCCCGCTTGGGCTGCCCTGCCCTCGAGTCAGCTGAGCCTCCTGCTCCTCTCCGCTCTCGCCAGGACTTGCGAGAATTTTGTTATCTTCATAGCATTCCAGTGGAGGTGAAACAGCACCTCCATATGGTTTTAATGTGCTTATTTTACGCTGAGAAATAAAAATTACACATTTATAGTATACAATATGATGTTCCACTATGTATGTATGCACTATGGAATGGCTAACCAAGTTAACTAATGTATGCACATAGTAAATCAGGTTCATTAACATATGCACATACTAAACCAGGCACGGCAGCGCACACCTGTGATCCTCCTCAGGAGACTAAGGCAAGAAAGCTGCAAGTTCAAGGCCAGCCTGGTCTACACAGTACCCAGGAACGGGACTGCAGGGTCAAAATGACTCACAGGGCACTTGCTATATGCTTAGGGCTGAGAGGATACTACAGTGCCAGTGATGGACATGTCACAGTTATAGGCAAGTCTGCTCCCTAGGGGACAATGGGTGATGTCTGGTGACATCAGGAGTTACCACAAGAAGGGGCGAGCACACTTCAAATCTACTGTTATCCAGTTAGACAACAGGAATACACTGCTGGTATCTGACAGGCAGAGGCCACGGGTACTGCTAAGTACCCTACCGTGCCCGAGACGGGCAGAAGACCCACACAGACTTTCAAGTCAGACAACAGCCCTGCGAGGCCATGAGGGAAAGGCAGTACCACTGGCTCATCGTGTCCTTTTCACCAACAGAATTTTTAGCCACGCACAAGACACCCACTGAATGAATGACTACATTTCCCAGACTCCCTTGCAGTTATAGGAGGAAATGAGGTCGATTCTAGCAGATGTGAATGATAATGGTCTGTCATGGACTAGCTATGGCCCCCACAGAAAAAAAAGAACGCAGAAATTCTAACTGGACAGTGGGGCTTCACAAATGAAGCAGGTTAAACTGGAGCCATCAGAGTGAGCCCTGAGCCAGTACGGCTGGCATCCTTAGAGAAAGGGTCCCGCTCCCCGACTGGTCGTGCCTGGTGGTCTGGCCTGCAGTCCCCACTACTCAGGCAGCTGAGGCAAAAGTTAGACTGCGCAACTCAGTGAGATTCTGTCCCAGAATGTCCTAAAAGGGCAGGGCTCAGGGTGCAGCTCACCCACTGAGCACTTCCCACGGACAGGCAGTCACGGGCTCCACCCTCAACACGAAAAATGAACCAATAAATCAGCGTGCCCAGCCTTGGGACACAGGCCCACACACAGAGGGCAGGC